GGAAATTATTAGACCAAATTTGTGCTAAACATATACTTTTACATTCATCAAATAAAGAATTTTTCCTTTTACTTTGCTAATAATATCATTATTGTATTGTTTTCTACTATGTTCTTTTTCATATTTATTAGTTTAAATTTCATAAATATTTTTTTTTTAATTGATAAAAAATACTGACATATTTTTTTAATTATTTTTAATCTAGAACATTTCAAAATTTTATTATGCATATGAATCATACGATATCTCAATTTATCACTTCCAATAAAAAACTTTTAATTGATAGAAAAATACTGATTACAAATGATGATTCATCATTTTTTCTAAGTAGTTAATAAAGTTGAAATAAAATTAAGCAAATAAAGAAACATTAGAAATTATCAAAATTATCAAATAAATACATCTAAAATTTTTTTGTTATATTTTGATTAATGGATATCATTAATGTATTTCAAATTTTATTCCAAATTAATATATGAATTAATATTTTTACAAGAAAAATAATCTCACTATTCTTTAAAAATTTGAATATTTCAAACGAATTTATAAATATATTTACTCATTTTATTCACTTATTTAAAAAAAAAAAAAGTTGAAAACAACATAGTACTAATAATGTTTTTGTGCTAAAATGAAAAAAAAAAAAGTAAACAATTATGATAAATGATCAGCAAAATAACTAAGGAACTGCAATACTCTCAACTTATTTTTGATTTTTCTTCACTTTCCCTTTTTCTAATTACCTATAATTATTATAAATCCAATTATCTAATTATTACAAAATGATAATTGATACTAATGGATTAACCTTTATTAAAATAATTGAAATTCCAATTAGAATATTTTTTGATAATAATATTTGCATGTACAGATTTCAAAAAAAAAAACGCATAAATACATATTTAAAAATTTAACAAAAAAAAAAAGAAAAAACTATAAGGTATATTAGCAATTGATTGACATTTCATAGTAAAGAAAAGAAAAAATGAATAAGTGAATAAATAAATAGCTTAAGTAATTAATTATTTGCTCAACGCAATTATCTATTTTAAGTGATATTTCCGTTATTTAAAAAGAAAAAAAAAACAAAAAATCTGGCTAATTTTAAGATTAGTTTGCTGAGAAGAACTTAGATTTAAACTTTTTGATCGGTAAATAATGATAGTATTTATTTTTTATGAATAGTAATAAATTTGCTAATTTTGTCTCAATTGTTGATTATTTGTTGTTTTTCCTTATTTGTTTTTACAATTTACGAGAATTGATTTACATTGTCTAAAATTTAAGCTATCAATAAGATTTAAATTTTAAACATTTTAAATGTTACATGTATAGCAATTTAATTCATCTGGAAAGCGTTGCATTGAAGGGCCATGTTAAATTGAAATACGTCTCATTGATAAATGAAACTTTGATTTCGTATTCCAAATGAGATTATATGCTATTGTTAGTTATTATTGTTGTTTGCATTTTTACGAAATAGTAAAGTAAGTTCTAGTGAAATATTTTAAAATTAAGCTATTTTTTTTTCTGAATTAAAGTTGTTTTCTTTTTTTTTTTTTATTATTTTAAACAGTTTATTTGTCAATTTCAGAATACGATAGTGTGTTATACATCATAAGTGTTATATTAATTGACTGATAATATGGGCTTTCGCCCAACATTTCGGCATCACAACGACAAGCAAGCAGATTACAGTGTTGGAGATGAATGTCTTTCTCGATTACCATATGCTTCTATTATTGCAACATCTATGTGCGGTATTGGTGTAATCCTTTTTACATTGGTGATGACATGGGCATTCAATGCATCTGTTGAGCAAGCTCGTCGGTTATTGAATGTGGAGAATTTACCTTGGCTTGCAAAAGTAATGTTATTAAGTCATGACTTATATTAATTTATTTGAAAAAATAAAGTTCAGATCCCTTAAATAGTTAAGGTACATTCTTTATGTTAAATAATTTATGAATATCTCTTTTACATTTCTAAGTTTTTTGTATTGTCTTACATTTAGAAGAATGTTAGCATTTAAATTTGATATATTCATCATTTCCTTTAACATGTATTTTACTGTCAAATTTAAAAGTAATCTAAGAGCCGTAGGATATGGATACGATTATAAAATGAAGATTTTGTTCTTCATTTTTTTTTTCTTGAATCGAATATTTTTTAGCTTTTAGTTTTTTAGCATGAAACTGTTAGCTATTGTGGAAATATTCATTGCAAATCTGAATATGTTTATATTTCATTCTTTTTTTTATTTGTAGATGCAAGTGTTATTTATTTGTGTTGCGGTGTTAATGGCAATAGCAGCTTTAATTCTACTTGTCATTGCTGCTATGAGCACGGGTTCCACAAGAAAAGAGCTTTATAGGTGTACATTTCATGCATTTTTTAATTTCTCTTTATAGATTTACTTCTCTTACTAATTATTCGCAGAATAATGAAGCCCTTACATTGTACATTATTGGGATATTTATTTACCACTTTATTAGTTAATTTCATAAGCGTAAAAACGTAAAAGTTTAATAAGTAAGTTTAATAGTAATAGGCTGGCATATATCCTATTTCATGGATTAACCACAGTTGAGTGTTACAGTTTGCATTTGATTTAATGAAGATTGGAATTTCCCTTGCATTGAAAAATTACATTGGTTGTTATTGATAGTGAATAGACAACTACTTCATTTTTTTATAATCTTTTCAAGTATGCAACTTTTCAACTTTTCAACAGCACAAAAATCACATTTTATGACAATGTGATTTTTGTGCTGTTCTGCGGAATGTGAGTTATATCAGTCTCAAATGATAATACTTAAAAGTATTGTTGTTACAACAAGTAAGCTGAGGAAAGATACCTTGAGTTAATCAATAGGTTGTGGCCGGATGATGAGACACTTACAGCCTGCATGATGATCAGCGGAGTTAGCTGGGGTGATTCATTCTGAGTTTGTTTCGCGAGATTATTGTGCAGTTATATCTAATGAAATAAACATTAGAAAGGCACGACATATGATAAGGAGACATGTAGAATCAATTACTAGAGAGTGATAATTAATAACTTTAATAGTTGTTTTCAGGGGGAAACGTGGTCGTATGGGAGGAAAATTGGCAAATGCATTTTCATTGATAACTGCATATTTGTTAAATATGTGCTGGTTTGTTTGTTTTGCAATTGTGGTTGTTCTTTGTTTTGTATATTATATATTTACCTTTCTATGTTCGTCAATATCATTCAACGGTTCCGATTGTCTTGACTTCTCACTATTTCAACCGTTTACTCAGCAAATTTCTACAAATGTAAGTTTTTTTTTTCTTTTTTTTTTTTTTTAATTTTCTAAGGAAAAATAGTTGCGAACGAACCATTTGAAAATATTTTAGATTAGAAAGAACATGTGAAGACATATGTTCCAGTACTATTAATGTTATTTATTAAATTAAGCTTTCAGTAGACCTGTCCTAATAACAAGTAATATAAACAAAATATAGCAGAAGGCAAACAGATCGGATGAATATAGTGCAGGACAAAAATCCTAATTACGCTTAGGCTGAAATGCTAATTTTCTTACTTTTCAAAAAAATCCTTAAGCTCATTTTTGATTTTGAAGTAACATTTCTTGTGGCAATATTTAGTTCTGTTCTTTTTTTAGTCATTGAAGCTTTGTGGCGGCGATGTGCAGCAGTTCTGTGCTCTTTCATGGAGTGCATTTGCTTGGTATTTGGTTAGTTTAATTTCATGTTTAATAGTAATCAAAGGATTGGAACATTTTATGATGTGCAGCGCAGCAAACTATGCTCATATCAGCAGTGGACTGAAATATCTCGAGTTGAGAGAGGTAAATTTTCAATAGATTTACTATTACTACAGATTTTTTTTTTTTTTTTTAAAGTAGTAGGTGGTTTCACGGAAATATTTTTTGCTTTGGATGGTGAGAGCGTCAATGTAAGAGGAAAACACGGGTATGGATTATGTTAGACTTAGAATGTCATTTAAATGAAATTTTGGTCTTATTCATTCAAACCAAATATTCATGTGGATAATAGTTTATGTTAATCTTATTATTTTTATGCATTTTTTTTTACTGTTTTAAAGAAATCTAAGGGAACAAAGTATGCTGGAAACATACTAATGACCCAGTAGTCAGTAGTTGTTTCTGTTGTATTTCATCGTATTTTATGTTACTTAAAATGGTTAAATGTTTCAATAAAATATGCCAATGTTTAATTTTTTAGTTATTGCTCTCGGGTGATGGTGATACAGTTAAAGCTGATTTACGAACAACAGATTACTGAATGCAACGAAGAGTTAGGAATATTTTGTCATGAGATTGTGGACCTCTCAAATCTTACCTAGCCTAAAAATTTATGTACCTTATTTCCATCGTCTACAATATGCAATCGTATTATGATGAACGGTAACAGTAAGCTACCGTTACATGTTTTTCATTTCGTCTGATTTGGAGGAGAATGCAAGAAAAATAAAAGGAATTTCTTTTGCTAAGGGTGTATTTGCCTGATTTGACCCTCGTATAATTTTTGTCCAAAAAAAAAGAGGTAGTAATAGGCTATGAAAGATTTTCTCTTCTATTCCGAGATTTTATCACTTCTTTCATTTGTTAATCTCAGTGTCGATTTCCCAGTCAATCTTTCCGCTTTCTACTTGAATGCTTTTTAATAACTTTTAAAGTTTTAGATGCCCTCTATTTTGATGCATGTTTTATAGGCAATCATACTTATTATTCTTCACTTTGATATTCACTTCTTGCATGTACAGATGTTATCTGTCATCATTTCGAGGATAAAATAAAAATCTTTCCATTTGTACGTTTTGAAGCAGTTTTTTCGCTCATTTTGTTATCTTTTTTCATATGTAAAAAGTTGAGAGATGGATGTAGTAGAAGCTGATAGATCTAAGGAAAAATTCTAGGGTATAAATGTAAGAAGCACACCGCTTCGCTTGTTTCTTTTTTTTTTTTTTTTTTCATTGATTTAGCTTATGCATGTTGGAAGCGGACAGTGTTGAACCACCGAAGGAAACTATTACAAACGAACTTTCGACCTTGTCAAACAATATTACGAATTGTCTTTCAGCGGTTTCATTAAAGGTTTGTATCTGATTTTCAGTACTTTTAGGAAGTTTTATTTATTAAATTCTTTCAGCTCTTTGTATATAAAATAATGAATCGTTTCAGCTTGGCTGTAACACAGAGACGGTAAGTTGTGTTGAAGAGTGCGTTATTGCCGCTGAAGAGTTGTACACATTGGGCGGATTGGTGAAAACAGATATAAGGGCCGTTAACGACAGTGTGATAGCGATCAACGAACAGATTGAACAACTTGAAAGCTTATTCCAAAATATTGATCGTTTAGAAGAATTCGTTAAACAGGTGATTTTCTCAAGATTTCAAAATTAAAGCAATATGGCAAATCATAGAATGATTATCATTAGATATAAAAAATGTAGAAATATCAGTCGATGGTCATGTTTCCTACATGCAACGAGATAATAAAGAAAAAAAATCACTTAAAATATACTCCGTTTCCTACTTGGATAAAATAGCCACTATGCATGTGCAAACCCAGTCATACAACTTACCGCACCAAATACATTTATCGCTGTACTTTTTCATAATTTTACTTTATATTTTACCAGTTCAACTTCAGAAAAAAGAACAACTAACAATTTTGGAAGACGAGTTAACCAGAGCAGAAAGATCCCAAAGAAATAAGAGAAAATGGAAACAAGAAGTGGGGAAGGCTTAAAGGGAACTTCAAAGGAAGGAGGTTTGTCTTTCATTCCTTTAAGCATATTGCATTGCTTCATATCCTACCTCTCTATTCTTTCTTATGACTTTCTAAAATTAATCTCTTAGGATTACCTGATTTTATCGAAGTCAGAGAAGAGAGTGAAGATGATAGTCCGATAGAAGCCTCGTCAAAGGTACAATGTCAGATGCCTGTAGCAAGAAATACTTCAAAGGTATATTGTGTGTTTATTTTTGATCACTTCTATGAGATGAAAAAGTATCTAAACTAGGATGTGGAAGTCTTTGAACAGCGCATTTGTATATTCTGTCATGGTATGTTTTTTTTTTTTTTTTTTGAAATAAAAGGAAAAATCTGCAGGGCAAAAAGGTGAGGAAGATGAGACGTCGGAAGAAGTATAAGGTGGTCAAACTGAATGAGAACGTATATAAGTCGGAAACTAAGTAAGATAATCATTTATTTTGTGAAATATATTATAATTCAGAGCTGAAATATGCTTCTTCGATAAGAGAACATTCTGTCAAGGCAACAAACACGTTAAACAAAACCATATTATATTTTCACATAATAGAATTTCTAGAACTTCTACATTCAAAGTTGTTCCGTTGTCAATGCCGCCACCACAACCATCATTCAATTTCCGGGCTCGACTGCTTCAAAGCAGAACGAAAAATCAAAGGCTGACAAGTAAATTATGCTCTAATTTTCTAACATTTCATTAAGAGAAGGCTTCGTTTTCAAGCTTTTGACCTCTGCGGCAACAAATCAACGCATCTTGAATTTTGTCACCCTTCTCACACATGCATCTGTTCCTTATTCTTCCTCACTGCATTTTCAATTAAATTTAAAATTCTTAGAAGTCTTAAGATGCAGTTTAAGACATTTCATTTCAGGAACGGAGCAAGCTGGTTTGCAACACAAAAACAAGTGGTTTACAGCAACAAGACCAGCACGTCGTTGAACTTTACATTATGTTTAGTACTTAATTTGGTTATAATAAAATATAAAATTCATGTGAAAATCAATCATATGAGAATTAATGATCCCATGCAAAAGAAAAGTAATATAGAATAGGAATAAGAATCGAGAAATAGATACATTAACGGACTGATTTCAACAGTTAATTAATACAATATTTTATCGGCGATCACGGCTTCGACGTCTGAAATTTAACTTCTTTTTGGGATGCAACTCGTTATTTTTATTATCTTAAAAGCAGGACACTTTGTAAGAATTTAAACTTCCAGCATTTAAACTTGAGACCCAAATCTCAGCATCTATTTAGGAAGCAGCTGAAGAGGTGCTTCATATGACCAAATCACTGCATCAAAATGCATGCACAGTAACTAGTTATTCTATCTCAATTTACAGTGCATCTTTTTTTTAATAACTATTAGAACCTAACGGCCGATAAGTTTAACTTTTTGCCAAGCAAAGATCTCCGACAATCACTCGATTCGCAAAGAAAAATGATTTTAATAGAAAATTTCTGAAGCAAAAAAAAAAAAAAATGCCTTCTTTTATAAGCAATGCAGATAATCAATCTGAGCAAATACATCTTGCTAAAGACTTGTAGAAATACCTTTCGCGGTCGTTTCGTCGTGAATCCCGGTCTCGATCACGAGTAGAGCGAGGAGAACGAGACTTACGTCGTGCCGAGCGACTGCAAGATTTGATTTAAACGTGGAATATGCAACAGTCATATTTCACATTTCTCCCGAAAACTTAACTTACCAAAACATTTGGTTCATTTCCCTCCATCCTTCTGTTCACATACTCCATCCCCTACGATGTACCATCAGCACGTCGTTACTAAGTGAACTCTTAAAACCTTATAAAACCGTCAGCATAAAATGTGGGAGTCCAAAAATTTTCAACTAAAAAATGGAAAAACTAAACCTGCGTCTTCGTTCACGATCCCTGTCACGCAAGCGATCTCCATTACGATCACGGTCTCGATCTCTCTCTCTGTCCCTTTCTCGGTCGCGAGAATCATAGTCACGTTCTCGAGCACGATAATCACGATCTCTCCTGTCGCGATCACTGAATAATTGTATTTCATTATATTCTGAATAACTAGAGTATATGGAAGTATTCAAAAACAAAAACCCACTTTCTATCATCTCTTGGACTTCCCAGACCAAGTCGAACTTTCTTCCATTCAGCACGTCTTCCTTCAACTGTTTTCTACAAAAATGAATTCTAAACAGCATAAAAAGATGGTGAGCTATCTTGAAAGAAGTATAATGCAAAATAATGGTACTGGAGCATGAATTACGCATTTCTCTTTATCACTTACGAGAGCACAGATGCGTCCACCACTTGACACTTTCTCCCTGTGTTCAACTTAACGCACCTATCACTCCACACTTAAGCGGAATTCCAAAAACAAAGATATAACCTTCATTTCGCTGTACTGTTCGCGAATAGTTTCCATACCGCAGTGCATTTTACCACCATAGTGATCAGCTAAACGTGTTTCATGTTCCATCAAACTAAGTTGTGCGCCACACATATCACATACACGAAGTCTTACTTGTGGTGTATTCAATACAGTTCGCACGTCATTCTCAAAGTGGAAATAAATTAGAAAAGAAAATGAATCATTACAGGCATGTATACATACGGGCTTCGAGCAACTCTACATCAACAAATCTGGTAGTGCTTTCTTGAGTAAGTTAAAAGTTCTAAAAAGATATATGCCTCAATATCATTCAGCTATTTAACTGTTGCTTCATATCACTGTGAAACAAAAATGATACATTTGGGTAATGCATAAAAAAAGAATAATTTGAATTTATATGAATGAGTACCAAATTTACCATAAGTTGAAGAAAAAAAAAAAAAAAACAGCAACATAAATGAACTTTACTTCAAGATCTCGCTTCTTCCTTTTATATTCTTCGATGGTTTTCGACAATTCCATCGCTTCCTCTACCTTACCCTCATTTCCCAATGCTTCCATTTTCACAATTGTCGTTCCAATTTTTTCTCCTAATTCTCCAATCATCTGTGTCTGTAATGAAAACTTCAGTAATTAAAGTGAAAAAATTTTTGAAATTCATGCAAACTTCAAGGAAGACGAAACCTTTAGGATTTCTGCTTGATCAATTTCATTTTCACAATCTTTTTTCAGTTTCTCTTTAGTCCGTTCAATTTCTTTATCAACGATACGGATTGCCTCTTCCAATCTCTCAAAGCCCTGAAATCCTCAACTTTTTTAATAATCGGCTATAATACTACGAGGCATAATAAACCTCCAACAATGAACAATTCCAAGATGTATACATGAACGAACAACAAAAAAGGGAACAGGAAAAAGCATAATGAGCAAAGAAAAAAAGGCAAAAACAGACAATCAGTAGAAGAGCTGAACCAGGATGAAGGCGCACGCTGCAGACAGATCCAATCAGCTGCAAAATTTCATTACCGGACGAAAATTTCTACACTGCTGCGCCCACAATTTGTTAATGCTTATTTTTTTGTTCTGCTACTGTTACATAATAATGGCGAACAGAACCACGATTTTTCGTTTAATGATCGAAAATTCGAGATTAAATGACGCTTCAAAATGAGACATAGATGCTGCCAGAAAGAAGTAAAAAGCTCATTTTTTCTGCAAATCTTTTTCATTCACGGTCTAAAGAAATTTCAACAACAGTGGACATACGAATTCCCATTATGTTTTTCGAACGATGATTGAAAGAGTTTCTCGGTATTTGCACGAAGGGCACTCTCCCTTTCACATGCATAAAACAACAACAATACCTAAAGTAAGAAAACTAAACAACTCGTTCCGATAATAGATTAACGACCAATACTACTGTTTGATGCGCATTCGCTGTTACCACATTTCCGATATTTTCCAAAAGTGCGACGAAAGCGCTCAATAAAACTCCCTGACTACCAATTTATCATCATCTATTTATTATATTTTAAAACTTCTGAGTACTTAAGAACTAGGAGTCTCAAAATAATTACTAGAAAAAAAAAAAAAAAACACAAACAGAAATATTCTCATGAAGATTTCTTTTTTAAAAGGGAATATTATCGTGCAGAAAAACATCACTCATTTAACACGGTCTTAAGATGTCGACCGAAAATGGTGGTAAACAAAATTGGCTGAAAATATGCCACTTGAAGATTAATGTAAAAGAAACGCAACATACATCAATATCGTAAAAATGATCTCGTTGCTTCTGAGCATTCTCGTAATCAGCTTTGTGGGCGCTTTCGTGAACCTAAAATTAGAGAAAGAAAAAATGAGATATTCGTTCTATTTATTTGAACAATCAATCTATTTAGCTCTTTAATACTCAACTTTAGCTTCCAGTACATCTAACATATAATCTATGCGAATGAATCATAACAGATATATAGCATTTGCTTAAAATTGAACTAAAATCAAATTCTTTAATAATTTGCGCTAAACCAATCTATATTGTACATGAAAAGTCTTGATATCCTAACAAGTAACATTCCAAAAATTCATACATGGATCTAATTTACGATTTATGACAAAAAATTATACAATTTGTAACAACAATTTATGAATAAACCTTATTGCAAGCGACAAGCGATTCAAGACGAGTATCTGCCAGAATTTCATGTGGACAGCAACCAAGAAGGAAAGCGCGACATACAGTATGATGATTATAAGGTACCAGACGTCGACCTTCCTCTACTGCTCGATTTGTCCCCATCAACTGGTTGATCATGTCACGCATTTCAGCCGTCATTTTGCTTCCAGTTTTACTGAAATTTAACCTTGAATATACATTTTTCATTATCCATTGCTAAATAATTCTAAGTCTCATTTCATCCTTTAAAATATTGCAATCTTTGTTTTCCGGACAAAATGGACCATCAGTGATATTACTAATCTAATCAATCCCATCTACTTTTCTCGATATGGTTACAACATAAGTATTCTTTCATTTTACACCACCTATTGCATATAATTGCATATCAATTCTCCCAATCTTAAATTTCAGATGTACAATTCCTGTACAACAAAACTAGAAATGGAACCATTAATCAGTCCGGTCAAACGCACCACCATAAAAACCGGAATCCAATCAACATAGCCACAAATCCACCCCACAACAGCTCGTCAAGATTAACAAACTGCAAGTGTATTATATAAAACGCGTCTCTCTTTCATCCTCTCTATGAAAACTCATATCCTGTTGCAGTGGTGACATTAACATAATCACTTAGTCATATGACACGGAGTGTGTTGGTTGATAGATGTAGGATGAATGTCTGGGAGAAGTAATCCGTTTAAAATTACAAGCAGATTTAAGGTTAAGCTTGTATATGTGGATAGTGCACGCAGTCGCTTTAATAGCATGATTTAATTTGGAAGTTTCGACTTTTATTGTTTATTTTTCTAGTGTACACAATTTAGGGACTTCATAGATTCTGTCAGAAACGCCAAAACAAATTTGTATGTTGAGAAAAAATTATAGTTTTAGGAAAAAAAGTATAGAACTATTTCACTATTTCAATTTTATTTCAAATAAAGAAATCATCTATTTAACACTCAGCTTTCACTTGTAGATAAGTTTAAAATGTTATTATTTGTTAACAAGAAAATATGTTGAAAGTTATCAGCTTCATTTTGCTGTCAGATCTTTCAATCTGATAGCTAATTTAGATTTGACTATTAAAATAATTGTTAGCTTTGTCTTCAATTTTTTCTTTTATTATAAGCTAATCTAATTTGCAAATTCAAGATATTTTGATCTATTACTGCAGTCTTATAAGTAATGTTATACAAACTCATTTTCATAATACATTAAAGATCATCCAAGAACAATTTGGTTAATCTTTAGTTATCGATCTGAACTTTATTTATGCGTTTTTTTTTAAGCAAATATCCTACATCCTAGGGAGATAAAATCATTATTTGTGCTCAATTTTTGAAAAAAAATTTGAATATGTCAAACCATCGGTTCGGTTTATCTTTAATTGATTAAATTAAATTTCAGCAATCGATTCTACAAGCAACAATAGCAGTAATGGGGCGAAAAAAAATGACAGTTACGCTTGCAACTACGACAATTACGCTTAGGGCGCAAATTGATGAACTGTTGCTATAGTTTAATATTACTTCATTCATTTCTTTCCTATATTATTATTCTATAAGCATGGTTTTGTGAAAGAACAATAAATTTATTGTTGACATTGTGGTACAACAAAAACATATTATTAAAACACTATTAAAAATTTTCCCTGAGATTTACATATTTTATTTCATTTGAAGAATGCCAATTACTTTTAACAGTTAATTCTAACATTTCAGTAATTTGATTCATGCTAATATTTTAATCAATTTTATGACGTGTTTCACTAGCAGTGAAAAATAAAAAATCGGTCTAAAAAAATATGAAAAATGATTTGTTTTATTCACAATTGTATATAATTAGCGACAGTTTGCATTTCTTTTATAATTAGAAAGCACTTTTTTAGTACTTTTCTATCCTAAGTTAAACTTTTCACTTTTCAAATTTCATCTATAAGGAATTCATTTCATTACTAATCATATATACTGACTTCAAAAACTTGTTCAAGTTATACTATTTTTGTTTTAGCTAATACTTTCCATCTTTAATTTATTTTAAAATTTGATCACAACACCTCATTCAGTTCTTTTCCCTTTTATTCATAATTGCTTACACAAAAATATAAAAAAAAAAATAAACCATCGTAGTCCAAAATTTCTTTCATAAGAAAAGTTTTCATTTTTTTATAAATAAACTGATTTATCATTTATTTGATTTTATGTTCGATTTTTTGTTATAAGAAAAAAAGAAAAAAAAAATTTTTATATGAAAGAATTCGCTTATGGTGAATATTTAAAAGAGTTACTTTTAAAAATATCAAAGATAAAAACTTCGCAATTTTTATCAATGCACCAAAGATATACATGTATTAGTTTTCAGTATACTATTGATCATGACTCATACTTTATCAGTTAACAATATTACTCTTTCAAACATACATGATCATAGTTCATACTTTATCACTTAATAATAACACTACACCTTTCAATAAAAATTACTGTTCTTTCAAATGGTAATCACAATGAGTTTATCAGTTTAAATGTACAGTAATCTTTTTTAAAATAATTAATCTGGTTGAACCAGCTGAATCACAAGAAAGAATTATTATTATTTTTTTTTAATCTCATCAAAATATCAAATATTTTTTTTTTTTTAATTTATTATCTCAGATATTTTTTTTTTAATCAATTTAGCTTGAAAAATAGAGAAAAAAAAAAGCTACAACAATGGATCAAAGATAAATAGATATAATGACAACATTAGCTGCTCTAAGATTCCACAATATCATTTTTACAGGTGTTTGATATCTGTTCAATCTGATGACGAATTGTCATTATTTTTTCCAGTGATTTTTCATCCAGTTTACTAAGGTCATTTTCTAAACGTCTTTTTAGTATCCTCACACGTTCTGATAATGTCTCCTGCAAATAAATACTGATATGTTTTTGTAGAAAGAGGAAAAAATTTTATAATAATAAAATTAAAAAATTTTTTAAATACAAAAATGGAAATTATTATTATTGAAACTTCAATGAGAAATAAACAGGGAATATTTTCTCAATAAATTAAAATGAGAATGAAATTGCATAAATGAATGAATAACGATAATAATTAATAATGAAATGTTATCTAAATAATAGGAATAAATTAATTAGCTAATAAATAAATGATAAAACGATTATCAACCTGCAACGGCCAAGCTAATAATAATACACAAACACCGGTAGATGTAATATAGGAAGCGGTATCCAAAGATAAGATTTTACGGCAAATATGATCACATGAATTGGTTTGCTTCATTAATTGAATGTCAGAGCAATTATTATGACATTTACTTTCTGCTTGCATACTCTGATATGCCTGATATTAAGAGTTATTTCAGATCAGAAAGGACAAAAAAAAAAGTATTTCATAGTATGAAAAAGATAATTGAATCATAAGAGTTATATATAAAAGAAATTTGAAATGCTGATGAAATATCTTTGAAAAAAAAAAAAGGAAACTGCAAAATTGGTAGCAAATATACCTCAGAAAAATCATGAAATACAATATAACCCATGAAAATAGCCGTAAATACTGCACAAACAGTTTCAAATTCCAATTCTTGATTGCTCAGTGCTTCTTCAGCAAGAAATTGCTCCCATTCCTTTAATCGTGGTGCAAGCTGCAACTGAGATTAGTAATTTAAGTAATTTAAGGTATGAAAAAGGTGAAGTTATTTTGATAGTATTAATAGAATGAAAAAAGAAATGATGTTGATGTTATCATAAATATCATAAATGATGTTATCATAAATTTGAGGCAGAATTTCAAAACAGCATTTATGAATTTTAATTGATAAGTAGAATTCAATGAAAGGAAAATAAAAATTTTGGCAGCTGGTAATATAGTGAGACAATGATGATAAAACTGCTAACAATAATTATTATAATTACAATCAGTTACAATTTTAAGAACAAATGTTATTAATTATTATTAATTCTAATACCTCAAGAGTAATTATCACTTGTAATAATGATAATAATAATAATAAAATAAAATAACATTGGAAAAATCAGTCGAAATGACAATTTTTTTTTTTAAATGATACCTGGTTTGGTTTATTTTTCTCATTAATTGTTTTAGCACAAGGATTACTACTGCAAATTTCTCATTTTTTTACTAACTTTATTATTCTCAAGTGGTCATTCTTAATAAAGGATTAAAGTAACTAAGTATATGTATATATTGTAACTGGATTTAAAAATTGTTATTTTTCCACTAATTATTGCCACTTTTTTCTAGTGTAGTGAAGATCACTTATAATTTTAAGTTAAATTTCACCTATGCTAGAAAAAAATAAATTTCGTATTATGATTAATGTAATTCGACAGTATACTAATTCAACAATAGCAGACTAACTTATATTATTTTCGATTCATTAGGAATTAGCAGGTGGGAAAGCAAGAGATACTTAAATGCCTACCAGTGTTTTGTAAGCACTAATATCACCTTGTAAGCGTAGTAAAGCTAATTGTTGTACGTGAGAGCGCAATTTTAGTAGTAAATAACCTGCAACAAATGTGTACAATCCATTCATCTTCACGTTTATTTTATTCGACTGGTTTTAACAGTTTTATAGTTTAAAAAAAATCACTTAAATATTTAAGGAATGAAGAGAAAGTTTTAAAATTTTGAAAATATATAAAATCAGACAAAATAACCAAGAACAAAGTATTAAGAAATTAATAACCTCGTGGTTTGCCGGTGGTGGTATCAATGCTAAGCATTGCATCCCTTAAAATAGTTAATGGTACCCAATGTGGTGGATATTTGAATCGAGCAACATCCATAATAAGAATTTGATCACTTTCTTCATGATAAGCACCTAACGGTGAGAAATGACCTCAAATAGACAAAAAAAAAAGATTGAAAAATAAAATTATAATCACTAAAAAATGTAATTTAATCTCATAAAATAATGAGAAAATAAAAATTATATAAAGTTACCTGCACCAGTTTGACCTAATACTTGACGATTATAGCTAACCACAAGAATTGTATCATCAACTGCCATACATTGTTTAACATTTTCTCGTAAGATATTCAGGAATTCTGGATATCAAATTTGAGTGAACTGCTTTTAAACATTATAGAAAATTATGTGAAATAATGGCTAAGAGTAATGCTTTTTCTTAAAATACCAATGTTGAAATTAAGTTTTAATATTTTAATCTCATTTAATAGTTGTTGATAATAACATTGAAATAGTACGTCATTTGTTTAACATTTTTTTGGATTACAAAAATGAAAAAAAGACAAATACATACCTGATTTCGAATTTGCATATTTTACTTCCGTGTAAAGTTTGTTGCATTCTGCTAAGCAAGCAAATTGAGATAATGTTATTCCGGTTTTCTTGATATCATCAAGTGGTACACAGCAGTCAAGCATACTTTCATGATAAAAACGCCATGGTGATTTCCATACTCGACCTGGATCCACTTCTAGTGCATTTAATACCATTACTAAATAATCGCCATAGGTTAAACTTTGACCTTTGTGACATAGGATAACCATGAAATATTTTTATTTTGAGAAATTAGCCAAAGAAAAAAATTTTTGCAAAAAATTCTAGTCTATTTCCTTTTTCTTTGAACAGCAATACTTATTAATAAATGAATTATGACTAATTCTTAGTTAGCCTTAATTAATTAAAAATCTTTTGTTTAGATTAAAGTGATATTAAGAATTAAAAATTCGGCAATTAAATTTTGTGTTCTTTAAAAAAAAAAAATGAATTGAAACATTTACCCAAAGTAGAAAGGCCACAATATGATGGTTCATCCTGTGTTAAAAAATGTGATGCTAATCGGAAATAAATATTTGCATGTCCTAAAATAGAATAATAAAAAAACTTTAAATTATGTCAGAAATTTGAAGCAAAAAAAAGATAAAATTAGATTAAAAAAACACAGATTTATTTTAAATGATATTATTTATATTATAATGATTGCGATAAAATTTATTATATTAATTAATTAAATATATTAATCAAATTAACAAACAAAAATTATGCAGTGATCATTCATTATAGTAAAAGGAAATAGAAATTGAAAAAAACTATTGAAGAACGATATAATGCAAATACGAAGATTTATTATATTGATAAGAAAATTTAAATGTGGAAATATTCTGCTCGAAATTTTACAAAATGAAGAAAAGATCAAAAGAAAAATATTTTAAAATCAATTAATTAAATTTTTGGACAGAATTTGTGGTCTATTTTTTAATGGAATAGCTTTATAATAGAATAACTTTACTTAAATAAAAGAAAGAAACAAAAAAGTAAAGAAAAAAACCATTCCAACTCCAAATATGAAAAAGTTAAACATATTTTTTTAAGTTTAAAACAAGCTTTTTATTTTGAAAAAGAAAAGAATTGAAATTTTTACAAATAGATGAATAATTGATAAAATTGAAACCTTTAACAAGACTTTCGATAAAAAGTTTTTTCCCTTCAGATGATGCAAAATTGATGCAGGACGATGGTAATTTTCGACGGTAAAAATTTTGAGTTGATGTTGCACGATGCTGCATATATTCTCTGCTATAACTGATAATAATATTGTTATCAGTGATTAGTGTAGTAAACTTCAAGAAGGTCATAGAGACTTAGAATTGTTAGTGATAAGAGGGGGAAAAAAGTATATGTATATATTGCAATAATCATTATCAAACTATTGAATGATTATTATCATTGCAAACTGAAATAAATTATTAAATAATCAGCACAGATATGCTTTAGGTTAGTTATTTTTCAATGACAAATTCAGAATATGGTAGTATCATTACTAAAATGCATTTTATACATTATATTTTATAATAAATTTTAAGAATTGTATAGAATATTTTAGATTTAAATCCAAATAAATTTAGAATTAAGTAACAAAAATTTATGGTAAAAAATTATTTGTCGCATCATTTCGTTTAAATTCATTGTTACCAATTATTTTATTTTTTATTTTTTAAATAAAGATATTAAAAGAGGGAACAATTTTCGAGTATTGAAAATTCTATTGTATCAAATTTTACAGGTAAAACATTCATTTATGGTTGTAATAATGTTTTTTTTTTATCAAAAATTTAAATATTTGCAGATTTGTAAAATTTAATAAATTTCGACAACATCGATCACAAATTTGTAGTATTCCTTACTTTATTATTCAAGTATCTTATTTTTTTTTTCGCTATTATTAATTTTTGAATTTGAAATTTTTAATTTTTATTTAAATTAATTAAAAAATACCAGAAATATCTACATACATAGGTAGGTACCAAGGAGAAAATGACGATGAAAATGTTCGCTGCTCAGATTGTATCAAATGGATCCAATTGAAACGTAAAAATATCGGATTAACAGGATAAAAGTGCAGAAATATTATGTTTGTACTGTCAAAATATAACAATGATGGATGATAATTCCTGGAAATTTTTGGGAGAAAATGATACAAATGCATAGAGAAGCATTGGCCAAATTAAATTGTTGCCAGTAAATTGTAAGAGTAATTAAGAAACCGGTTTTGTATTTTCAGGTCTAAAAGTCATTTAAATAAATTATCATTTATAACTTCAATTTTATTAAATAATTGCTGTTTGAATAAATAAATATGGAATCGAACATTTAAAATATCGAAGCGTATTTTTTCTTATTCGCAAAAGAAAAAAATCATTGTAGTCAATGCTGATCACTGTAGTAGTGGTAATTAATAATTATTAATAATAATATAGATAAACTATTATTTGTTACATATCATTACTATGATTACTATGAATTCACTTCCATTCTGCGAAATAGAATTGAATGGACGCTTTATTCTCATTTTAAAATTAATTTGTTAAAAAAAGCAAAAAAAAAAAAATATAATTTAGGAAGGATAGTAAATATAACCATGAAAATAACAATAGTGTCTAAAAAATTATTACAAAAATTTTTGGAGGAAAATGATAGAACTACATAATAAAATATTGACCAAATTGAACTGTTGCAATTGAATTGTAAGAGCAATTAAAAAACAGGTTTTACGTTTTCTAAAAGTCACCTGAATGAATTCCTAATTACAATTATAATGGCTAAAAAAAAAGAAAAATGTTAAAAAAGGAACATATGGCATCCATAATAGTTATTATAAACCACAATTTACAGTTAAGGTTTGTGATCAGTCAGGTTTGTGACCAAAATGACCGCAATTCAAATTAAATTAAGAGTGACTACGATTTATGAACAGTATTCATAATAATAACAACAATTACATTTGTAGTTATAATTAGAGCAATCTGTGTGACGGTCACAATTATAATGCCAATAATAATTAATCCAGCAGGTAACAATAAGGAATGAATCAGATGATTTCCTCGGAAAATTTTCAAAGTTTAATTTTTAAAGTTTGGACAATATATAAATTGGATGCGATATTATGTATAATCTGTTCAGGTAGGAACATAAGAGTAAAAATTTGAAGCAATTTTATTAAAAGCACTCATATTTACCGTTACACCATTTCAGATTTACAAGGCACAAAAATAATTTACATGTAATAGTTATAATTCGTTAAATTAAATATTCTTTATGTCAAATAACTCTTATAAATAGATTAACAAAAACAAAAAATAACAAGATAATAATAATTAAGATTAAAACGAAAGCATATACCAAGTATTACGTAACATATTCGTGTGGCTGAATCGCTAACCGGTTCCAGAAGAGTATAAAAATCCTGCAAACAAAGGTGAACCCTGTTTCTTAACTTTATAAAGTCAGTATACAAAGGAAGCAAGAATTCTAAAAGGAATTAAAGTCACAAAGATACAATTCTAATAATTAAATCCTCGTAATTTTATTCACCAAATGACAAATACAAACACTGGAATAATACATGCACTGAAAATCTCAACGATATTTAATTATAACTCAGTCACGAGATATTGCCGAAAAATAATGAATTAAACTGTTAAATACATTCATTCATTTCTTAAGCGGCAAAAAAAAAAGGAAAAAAAAACACGACCTTCTATTCAGATTACAATTTATAGAATTTATCTTTCCAAGCTTTTGGCAGAATAATGAACACATAAACAACTGAAGAAAAAAATTTGTAATGGTATTTAATAACAAATTATACGAGAAATCGAATAGCTTGGAAAAATAAACAAAAAGAGACTACAAAAAAAGTTACCAACCAAGATTTAATCCTAGAAAAAAAAAAAATCACATGGACGGAAGAATGCAGAAGTTAAAGAAAAAAGCAGAATTTAAAGCTTTAGTTTTACCAAACCGTATCAACAATACTAATTGGAATGTGAATGGTAATTGCGCAATTGGCCATTACCTTCAACAGTACACTAACTTCCTTCAGAAGGACTATAACAGTAGGTGTAATTAAGAATCTCAATAATCTTAGAAACTAATCAACAAAAACAAAGTACTCATCTAAAAGTGACGATATCGGCTTTCTGTCATACAAGAGCATATCGGGAGAAGATAACACCTCGAATTCGAGGTCAGCAGTATCCGATGCTTCTGCATCTTCCTCCGTTGACTCTAGTACCTTTTCAGTCATTTTCGATAAATCTGGTGAATCAACTTTTTGCTCGCTATTGTCCTCGTTATTTGATAACTTACTCGAAACTTCTGCTCTTGACTTGTCTGCTTTTATTGTCTCAGTGTTGTTAATCGACTTTTCAACTCGTTGTTGTTCTAATTTCTTTGCAGCATCATGAACCTTAAATAATGTCACGCATATCATATGAAAAAAGCTGCAAAAACAATGCCCTAATCACACATGCTAATCAGTTTTGTTTGATTTTCCATACATTTTTTTTTTTATCTTATCACAAATTTAATCTAAAACAGTGCAAAAATTATAATAAAATTTAGTCTAAATTAGTAATTATTAATGTTGTTTAATGCACCATTATTAAAAAGAAAAAATTTCCATAATTAATTAAATTTATATTCCTTAAAAAGAATTTTTTTCAATCCTTTCTTCACCTTAAGTTTTTTTTAAAGCTTTATAAATTTTAATTTCTTTCAAAACCAGGAAAAAAATGCAAGTGTTAATAAAATTTAACTATTGCTACCTGACGAAGATAATATGGTCCACCATAATTAACCAACCAATTATAGGCATATTTCGGTATATTACTCTCAGGATTATCATAATATGAAAGAACATAATCGAATCCTTTACAATCAAAAGTTTTATGAGCTCGAACTACCATTATCGACCGATAAGTCTCCACACGTACATATTTCTTTTCACACCGTGGAATAATATTAGCACTATCTGCTACCGCACAATTTGCTATCACAATACAATGATCCTTTTCATCGATGTATCTGAATACTTCAATATGTTATTAAACCTTTAACAAAAATATATTTGTTAGAATAACCACGACAAAATGTTATTTTAATTACTATCATTTTGGTCACATGATCGTAAATTTTGAGCTAATGCAAATCATTATTCAATAATATTAAACATAATTGATTTGACCTAAATGTTATAGTAAATGAAAACCATATAAAAAAAGCAAAAATGTGGAAGCAGAATACATTCCAAAAACCATTCGACAATGTATTCATTGCTACTTAATATTTCTGTTAAAGTATTTTGCAGTGTTACATGTATATATGAATGCGTTATGCGTCCATGAATGCATACTTCTAACTTTTTTTTTAAATATGATTTAGCAATTCTCATATGGTTTTGCAATAATTAGCATTTGTAGAGACAATTGTAGCATTGAAATATCCTTTATAAAAATTAGCGAATCAGTAATTATTTATAACTACTTCGTAGTTTGTAAGCATGTAGGATTTTAATGAATTTTAGTGAAGTTTCAATCATTCTGTAACAGAAAAAAAAAAAAAAAAACTGAAATGTAAAATTGATACAGCATTCTTTGCTCTCTCAGAAATCGCTATTTCACAAATTTTAAATCTAATTCACACTCATACCTTCGTCTTACAAATACGTATTCACGTGGATACATTGGATAAGGAAACTTAGCAACCCAATGGATCAATTCCGAATCGGTATCATCATCTTTTCGAACTAACTCCAATTTTTCAACATTTGGATCCCATTTCTTCCGGAAAGCTAAATCCATTTGAGCATCCACAAAATCACTGGCCGTAATATCACTGAAAACACTTAGTCTTATCTGAAGTAATCTGTTTGAAATATATATCTCAATAGTGATATTTACTGACAAAAGAAAAAAGAAATGTATCCGATATTTAAATTAAAACGCTGACGTAGACGTCAAAATAATGTTCAAGAATTATAGTTATTCAAAATCGCGTGATTTAATAGTTATGAAAACCTACTCGTATGAACCTGAGCAGCGAAATTCATATAAACCGGTACCAGCATGCAACCTTCGTAATACTTTCGAATTTCCTTCATTACGTACAACCTTAAAAAACTATTTGTTTCTGCTAAACTTTTTTTCAGTTCACTTTATTACCCAATAAGATGAATAACATAAAGTGAAACTTTCGAGATTTCAAAGCAAAGACAACGTGTGCAAAGTGATCAGACTTTTAAACAGAATAAAAACAAGGAGGAAAATCTTTCAAATGAAAATATTCAAAGGTAAAAATAAGATCAAGAAAAAAAAGGAATATGAAAAGTCAAATCTGTGTTTTTAAGAATGACATGAAAATAAAATACACAGAGTAACCAACTTCCCAATCTTCACAATCATTGTTTGTACTCGTTTTTGCTTCTGCCATTATCATTTCATCTGAGATTCCATTTTGTTGAAATGAAAAACCAGCTGCTGTAATAGCTATCAGAAATTGTGGCCGCCAATGAAACCTACAAAGCAATAAATGTAATATGTCCTTTAATATGGCTAAAATATGTTACATATTAAGACATGAAAGAAAGAAAAAAATATATAAAATTTTCTATAAATTATAAATATTATAAAAAAAATGTCCTTAAATATTATTTCTTTGGAAAAAGTATCAATTCTAGAATTCAGTAACAGTAACATATTCAAAAAGCGAACCGTCCCATTTGGGATATGAAATAAAAACTGCTTCGCTTCTTTTCATTCCTTAAATGTATGATATTTCATATCAACAAATCAGCTTTCTTTTTTTTTTTCCTTTTTTTAACTGGCAACACCCACATCAGATAGTCAAAAAATTGTATAGAATAATGCAAAAAAAGAAAGAAAAAACTACCATTGCCGCCATTGTTTTTCATAATTTCTCCATCCAATCCTAATATGCCATTTGCATAGCTGTGTTTTTCTAATCCTTTCAAAAAATAAATATAATAACCGGTTTCGGATTGCTTGTGATGATGAACCAAACTGTAGCATTAGCTGTTGTACTTCCAAATTTTTATCATCAACTATTTTCCAATATTTCAAATATATCAATTCGAAAAAACTGAAATTTAGTGAGGAATAAATTATTTCAGTATTTAATTTTTGTTAAATTAAATAAAATAATATAACAGTTGCTAAGATTCATTTTCCACCAATTGCAGGCATTAGTTTATTCATTTATTAATCTACAAATTCAACCAGAAAAAATATACGAAGGAGATAAAACTATTTTTGTATGGATTAATACGAATTGTGTTCGTTTTTTCATCCTTCAATAAATCACTATTTTTTATCTCCACTTTACTCTTTATCATTATATCAAGTGATAAGGTTAGTTTTTGAATTCTATGCAAAACCTTACGTATATGCGGATGCTATTTGAAATGATACTTTGAATTTTATGTGATGACATAAAAAAGTTGAAGGATTATACATTTATATAATTTATCGTGATGAAATTTATCACAAATAAGAGAATAGAAATAAAATAATAATAACTTTAGGTTAATTTAACAATATTTTCCTAAAAAAAACTTAATTTTATTCATAATAATTTTCTAGTGGTTTATTTTACACTAATATGAACACTTCATACAGAACTTTGAAAATAACGCTTGCCTTTGAAACATCAAAAAATTCCACAAAACAAAAGCAATTATCAATGGTATGAAATGATAGCATTCTATAGTTTCCAGGTAGCAACCATATTTACCGGATATTAATTCAAATTCTTCCGGTAACAAATGAATCAATAATATCTATAAATATTTATTCCCCAAAATAAAATGAAATAAGCAAAGTGATAAGTATGACAACATACAAAATTACCCTATGAAATATAAAAGCACCACTAGAACTAATAAGTAACAATCAAAATGCGAACAAATAATCACTGCGAATTTACTATTGCAATCACAAAAATATGCAACATAATCATTCAAATGACAAAACACTAATGTCATTTGATGTGATAAACACAGATGTTTTATCATTTAGAAAAATAAGCATTAAATGAATAAGTATTTTAATCCATCTTGATAACAATTATCTTATTCTTATCACATTCATTGCTTCATCACATATAGAACTATTGAAGGATTTTTCATAATTTATTGTTCCATGATTATTGTAAAATTTTCAGAAATAAACAGATAAAAATTAGTAGAGTTTATAGAAAAAATATGAATAAATCTCGACACCGAAATTATCCTTTCTACATTTTTCCTTTCAAATTATTCTCAAATGAAAATAATTTGCAAATTTTTGTTCGCAAATAACTGTATAAATAACTCCGGTTTTATTGTTTTTCATTTAAAAACTACCTAATAAGCATAACTTAAATTCAAAAGATCCATTAAATAGACATATAAAAGTAATGGCTTAAAAAACCATAAAGACAGCTAAAATTTTTATTGGGAGTGGAATGCAAAGACAGAGATTTTTCAAAAGCATAAAGAATAAAAAGTAACTGGGAAAATTTAATATGAAAAATACAAACAAAGCTATGGATTAAAAATGAAGAAAATAGCTGCAATTATAAAAGAAAGAGGTAGGTGTGAAGAAAAAAATTTTTTTTACTCAAAAAGAAACAGCAGATTTAAAAACAAAACCGTTTGGAAAAACTATCCTACATAGCATATACTTACAGATCAAACATGAAGAAACATTCATATTGGAATGAAAAAATTTATATAGTTTTCAAAAATTCAAATTGACTTTTTCTGCAAGGACGAAGAAAAATTGCTCCGATTTCACTAGGCATAAAAACGAAGTCAAAGTTTTAGCTGCAATGAACATATATATAGATCATAGCTTCCAGTTTAGCAGCTTTATCACAATACCACAGTTATTTGAATAATATATTAAATGAAGGAATTCAGAGACCAAGAACAATTGCTCTCAACTCCCGCAACATTTCCAATATTTCTATAGAAAGTTTAACTCTAAATCTTTATTATATGTTAGCGGATAGCCAGAATACTGATGCTCTTGCAGCTTAATTTATAATTTAAAACGAAACGTTGCAAGTTTCAAGAATAACTGAAATATGAAAATTATACAGTATCACAAGATGCAAACATTTTCCATCATTTCTAATAAAATTTAGGCATAGATTAATATGAAATTTAAAACGTTGATGGTTTGAACGGAACTGACTGACAACTCACTTGTATTTTCTGTATTTTCACGAGATTTTGGTCAAGAATTTTCCAATGCCATCGATAAACTGCAAATGTAATATCACTCTACCAATTCATTTAAAGTGTGTGTACCACAATTTCAGAAACCGCTGCAGTTGTTGTAATTGCCCATTTCCACCAACCTATAGCCAAATGTGGTGTCTTTCGTCGTGATTCAATTAATGATCGGAGTTGATTAAGAGTGTCGGAATATTGATAAGAGCCTGTATGTTTTGATTAGAATTATTACAAGTATTTAAATTTCATTAATGTTTTGTGTAGCGCATGTAGCAATGACCTTAATCTTTAAGGATATTCACCACATACTGTCACACGTCCGCAATGTTGTAATCCAATGTACTCCAATGTAAAGCAATATTAGGTAAATTAGAATTAGAATATGTACGACCTTGCGAGAGATAAAAATTTTGGGAATAACTAATGTCTAGTTTATTTGAATCTTTAATATCAATAAATTTATTGAAACAAGAAAAATCAAACGATTAACCATGAGCATAATGTGTGGCCACTGATATTTCTAAGACTGGTGTCTTGTTGATGTTCAAATCATTCAAATCGACACGTCTCTGTAAATGAAATTTCATTGTGCTGCTTTACTATTTAATTTTTGTTTAGGGAAATCTCTTTTCTTGATGTGCAGATATATGACTCTTATATTTAATAAATTTTTTCTCATTTATAACCAATTAATCCTGAAAATCAATCATGCATGAAGTTAGATGATTGATTAATATGAACAAGCAGAATGCATAATGAAGAACTAGCAGATCAAGTGCAAAATTTTTAATGAACTAACCGATTTAAGAATAATCCAGAAATTTCGTTCCTTTGGAGCTTCGGCACCATAAGTAAGAAAAACGAAATAAGTACTGCGCTTACTAAACCCACCAGACCGGAACTTTGTAAATGACCAACTGTCAATTTCAAAATCGTCCATAGGTGTCAGATGTAGTGACATTTTATCGGTGCCACCCGAAACCGTAAAACTTAATCGCAGTTCAGATTCCGACAACAAATGTTTCTCAACATTAATGACTTTGATGGGATTGGCTATCCGTGGATGACCAGGTAATGGTATCCAACGAGATTCCCTACAAATGAGAAATGTGAAAAAATTTTGTTGATTGTAAACTCAAAAAGTGATAACAACGGATAGCTCAACGTACCATTGAATTGATTTTTGCTTATTTGATAGTTTTATTGCCATTAATTTCTATCAGTACTTCCCCTATTCCAAAAAATTTCTGTTACATCAAATAGAGAATAAGACAGCGATACAAACAGTTATTTACTTATCTTTGTTTGCAATAAAATAAATAAAAGTATTAAATTAACCCCATAAATACGAAACATCCTTGGTAATTCTTTTCTTTAAATTCAATTTATTTATGTTATGAAAAAAATAATAATCGAATACCGCGGAGGGAACAACTGATGAACAGCTGTATAATATGGAAGACGACAATATTCATCTTTTATACCACTGCAGTTCGGTTCACTGTTTCCTAAAAATTATGCTAAATTAATGACATCAGATTTTGTTTTTTGAAATATAAAAATTGAACAGAGGATTAATAAAAATTACCGGTCAAAAAAGTATGTTCCGGCAAATCGGTAATACCACGATAATCTAAGGTTTGTACGAACAGTGCATGTTCCTGAATTGATGTATTGCTTTGGAAAGGATAAATTGATCGTTCGCTATCCTGAAATAAGATTCATAAATACTAATTATGGGATTGGAATTTAAAAAAAGCACTCGAGAATAATATCATTTGAACTCTTTTGTGTAAAATTTTGATTAAAAATTAACTTATACCAATGTAATAAGACGTCTTAGACGAGGGCTTTCTTCGGAGTATTTATAAGGCCAGCCAAGCCTTGTACTAAATAATGCTATAAAAAAAACGCAATATAACATTAAGCCACACTTTAGGAGATAATCCATACGACGACTAACATACAACAGATTACTCTGAAATAAAGACTGATTAAAGACATGAGAAGTATAGAATTCTACAGTTTTTTAATTTATATGAATAAAAAAAGGTAAGGAAATATCTATTCAAAGGAGTTAGAGAATGATTTCCCAAATTCATAAAAACTAAAATGTAACCAGTAAAAAAATATGTTTGGTCAGAATGTACACACCGTAAAAAGAATAAAACATAGTCCAACAAAGAGACTCATTAGAACCATAATAAATTCAGGATTAATTGCTACACCCATTCGTCCTGTAACTGGGACGAAGAAGTCAAAAAGTAGCATTGCTGAATAAGCATCGAATACCATCACAGGAACAGTACACAACAATTGTGTAATTAATAGCCATTGTGGAGAGATTTCTGAAAGATAAAGTTCCTAACAAACTTAACCAAATCACTTAAATTACCATTATAGGTTTTCGATTATAATTCAATACGTCTGTTATATTCATAGCTTTTTCTGTCTGTGAAAGGAAAAGGTAATCAAACTAAAAAAACGATATTGAAAAAAAAAAAAACAACTTAGAACCCTTATAAGTTTGTTTCACCCATCAATTTTATAACAACTACATTTGGACAATATCATTTTGAACAAATAATCATTAAGGTGGATTAAAAATTACTTGTTATAATTCGCATCTTCCCGAAAAGCCAAAGCAACGGCTCACGAAGTAATAAGAAGAAAGAATTATAAAGTAAAAAGGATGCACCAGCAATACCAGCAAATGTTGCAAGTGCCAGCCACGTTGAAAATAACAATAACACACCATCAAAATGTATCATTTCCTGATTAGGTCTCTGAAAG